CTGAATGGTTTGGGACCTGCTCGATTGCCACCCCCCAGATAAAACTGGGATGAAACCTGTGGCATGTCATAGGGCAGTGGGGGGGCAATCCTTTTGGCAGATGAGCCACAAATTAGCCCCACACCCTTCCGAAGTGCCACTCTGGTGTCTGATCTGCTGCTCTGCTTTCTGCCCAGCTTTGCTTTTTGCTTCCTGCCTGAGCTGCTTGCTCTCTTTTTTGCTTCCTCCCCAGTCTACTGCATGCCACCCAGAGGCTGCCCATTGCTTGTGACATGCCTGCCTGTAGCAAGCTGGCTGGCAAAGGCTTGCAGCAGACTGCATGCTGCAAAGTGGAGGAGTCTGCCGGCTTGCGGGGACTACAGCCAGCTACAAGCAGTCAGGAGTGATTGCAGGATGCCTAGGAGAACTGGACCAGGTGCAGAGGATGATTAGCTGGCTACCAGAAGCTAAAGGCTCATAGGGAGAGGAGCCAGAGTGTGGGGGCAAGGCCAGGATTTTCCCAAAGTCTGGGAAAAGATCCAGGACTGCAAGGTTGAAGGCAGCAGCACAAGATCAGGAAAGGTTGCTCAGAGGAGAGGGAAGGAAAATTGCACAGCAGTGCTGAGGGAGCAGCATGAATTTGGCACCACCTTCTTGGGGTCTGGGAAGAGGCCTCAGGACTGTGTGTGTCCCTGTATGGACTGTGTTTTGAGGATTGGCTTAGGCTGATTCCTGTACAGCAAAGATGCCTGGGAGTAACTGTATGGTTTGAGAGACTGAAGTTGACTGGTTGAGACTTGAGTTGACTGGTTGCTCTTCCCTGTTGTCAGTATTGGCTGTTTTGGATATTGTTCCTAGCAGTTGTATGTGAGGGTGTAAAGTGGTAATTTTGGGGATTCCTTTGTTAAACAAGTGCCTGAATATGCAGGGAACTGGACCGTGTGGCTCTGAAGGCCCCTTCCAGTACTTTGTTCCTAATATTATTTATTTGTATCACAATAGGACTAAGGAAAATCCATTATGTGCTAACAGTGGTGTTCCTATGCCCGGAAGATTGAGTAGCTGGTAATCTTTGATGAAAAAACAGCTGTCTTGATTTAATTACCTAGTGTGGATAATCCCAAATGAGACAAATCAATTAAAAAGCAGGTAGAGAGTGAAAAGGATGCTGGGTTCAGAGACGCACTGGCGTCTAGAGACAGCCGCATTCGTTTTCACTGAGAACAGCTCCTTGACGTGGCTGTGGGCCTCCTCCAGACGATAAGGCATGCTTTCCAAAGCTTGCACCGATGTTGCAGCCCCTGAGTGAGTCTCCTGTTCTAAGCCATATGCAGATGACCAAAAAGAGAAGAGGAGAGGATCACAAAGTAACCCACAAAGCATATTTTTCTCCCCACCATATTGGATATCCTGGCTTATTTCCTTCTCTCTCCTTCCATCAGAGGCATTCTTATGGAGCCCACCAGGATGAAGTCGGCTTCCTCGTTTCTAATGGCAAAAGAAGTTTGGGCATGAAAGAAGTAATAGCTAGAAGAGAGAGGTTGTTTTCCTCCCTCTGATCCATTTATCCAGAGGGTCTTACTTAAATTACTCTTTAACTGAGCCTGATGAGTCTATTAGACAGGCCTTATAGTCCATGCATCTGATCTGTGCATGAAGGGAAGGTCTCAGGAATGCACTTGGCAGGCAACAGTATGGCAGAGGTCTACTGTTCCTGCCCCACAACAGTGTTTTGCCTGTGTTAATGCCTCACCTTCGAGCAAAAGTTAGTCACAGTGAACTGGTCAAAAGTAAATTCAACTATATTAGACTTGAAAACCACTGGTTCCACTTTCATAGTGGAAAGACTAGTCTCCCATAACACTACTTGGAGGAAGTTTTCTTTTCTTTTTCTTTTTGTGTGTGTTTCTTTCCTGCTTATTAGCCAGGCATCTCTGTTACGAGCTGGATGATTGCAGGACCACCTAAAGTTATCCCATTGGGATCCTCTGTAAAGTTCCCAGTATAATAGTAACTGGCTGTGCCCCACAGAACTGATGGTTTCAGCTAGCAAGAGAGCAAAGATTTAGTTGGCAAATCAAGGCAGTGTGAGGTGTAGTGACTTGCCCAGGGTCGCACAAAATATCAGTGGCAGAGCTCAGCGGAGAACCTTGGTTTCCCTAATCCGTCATGCTTTGTCCATCCAGACAATTGCCCCTCCACGTTTAGGGTTTTTTTTCCTTGGGAAGTCGCACTGCTGATTTCTGGAGGAGGGATATTATGGGTCTGAATGAGTGAGAGCTGAAGTTAAGGCAAATGAGATCTATGTGTGTGCATTCCCGAGAGAGAGGAATGGGCCTTGTTGATACTAATTTCCACCACTGCCACCTTGGGGAGATCCCTCTTAACTCGAGTGCTAACTCCTTGAGTTTATGGCATCAAAGACCTAAGGTTTTAGTTCTAGTTGTGGCATGCTATGTATATGTATGAATGATCAAATCACGTGTATCTCTTGCCTATAGCATGCTGAGCCATATCTGCAAGCTCTTTCACAATGATTCTCCAGAGTCACTGAAACAACAGATCTCTAAGAAATGAGGCCCTAATTACAGCCTGAAGGGAAAGGCAATGTAGAAAGAAATGGAGAAGTCCATATGGTATAAATGGTATGTGCAATGTATGCCTCTTACTAGATTGTGACAGCGATAAAACCCAAGACTTGTGCTGCTTTACCAAGCTCCAGAAACCCATGCACCCATCGCAATAGTCAGAAAATCAAATTGAGGCCATATATATAAAGCTGTATGGGAAACTTCCAAGTCTCTGCTCCTCGCAGGCCCTTGCAAAAATAAACATATTCAATTCCCTGATGGGGCAACGTGATGCCCAGCACAGTCTTGCCATTGTTCTTTGGCATTTTTATTGCCTCCGTGCATTCATCACCACTGACAATTTTTTAGAAGTTTGCTTAGGATAGAAATTATAGATCTGGAAGCAGCAGATAACGAGACTGAGCCATCTGGGGCCATTAATAATTAGATGTATGGGGGTAAAGGCAAGAATTGGATTTGAAAGGAACAGTGTTGCGGAGAAATCTGTCCAATTTGGGAGTTTCAAATGCCAGCATCATGTGAAGTGCATAAAGACCCTTCATTTTTCTGCAGGAGAACGGCACAATAGCAGTTCGACTGGCAAATTTCCCCGTGATGATGGACGTTGCATAGCAGGCTCTCTCTCCCCAGGCACTCAGATTACAGCTCCATCACTGGGTTACTTAGTGTTGCAGTTTTTTCCCCTCTTTCTTTTCTTAATCTCATACAGATTGCACTTTGCTCCTGGAGGAAAAAAGGAAATACACTGGACCCCATGAAAAACAAGCACGGAGAACTCCAACGCAGCCTCAGCAAACAGACTATTGAGGTTGGTTGGTTTGCTTGTTTGTTTTTTTTAAATGGAGGAAACTCGCCTCCAGTAGCGATTCCAAAGAGGAGTTGAGAAAACAAGAGGAAACAATAGGAGTAGAAAATGCAATTAGGTGATATATTCCAAGAACTGGCAGAAGCAATTTCAGTACGGTGCAGATTAAATTCTCTCATGGGGTCCATGCAGAAATGTCAGAGATTTAGCTGAGGACACAGCCACAAAAGTCCATTATAACACAGTGGGTGGCATAGAGTGTATCTGCTTTTTCACACTATTATTCCAAGGTTATTGTTATCAGCTTTCAGGGGATGTGTGCATAGGTGAAGATCAGGGCTGAGCAAGTAATTGAGAATGGATAATTTCCTCCTTTGCAAAGTAGATTTGGCAAATTGTCTGCCAAAGCGGGTGGGAGTGGGGGAAAGAAAAAGACAACACAGTTGTCTTGGACTCGTCCTTCATTCAAAATGATCTCCCAATTGATTTCTACGAATAATGCATGGGTGGTAGATTGATCCCAAGCAGCTCCTGGCTAATATTGGCTGTTCAAAAACCTGAACTGTTTTGCTCGAACATAGAGGTCATACTATATATTTCTGCTCCTTGATCCGAGAGCCATCAGATTTCTAGTAAGGATATGCGGGATCCCGAACTTTCCTTTCTAGGTATATTCTGTAGCATTTGTTTCACATTTGCTGTGTTGGTGATATTCCCTCCTAAAAACCTTTATTTGATGGAATGCGAGTGGAAGGGGGAAGCAATGTAGCAAGAAACAAGGGGTTTGGTAAATAAGGCTGGGAGTCGAAGGGGTTCAGATATGATGGTAGCCACATTGCTCCTTTGCTGTGTGCTATTGGTTGAGCTGATGGGTCAGGAAATGTATGCCCAGCTCTTCCAGAATCCTCCTTGGTGACCTTAGTCATGTGACTCAACCACCCTGAGTGCGTCTACATGTGCACATCTACTGTGCAGTAACCTAAGTTACTGTGCAGTGACCAAAAATTACTGCACAGTATGGGCACGTGTCTACACATGCATGCCCATACTGTGCAGTAAATATGGCGACTTATGCCGACCTGGGAGTAAATTTGATACCTGCATGAAGCAGGTATCACATTTACACCTGATAAGTTACTGCGCGGTAACACACGTGTAGATGCCTTACTGCACAGTAACGCTGTATGTGTGCACTAATTTGGGACTAACTTTAGTCCCAAGTCAGTCCACAAACAGCGTTACTGCACTATAATGCCTGCATGTGTAGATGCCGACCTAAACCCCACTTACTGCACAGTAAATTTCATGTGATATAAATGCACATGTAGGCACACCCCCTGTGCCTCAGTTTCCTCATCTGCGAAATGGGAGCGAAGGCAAGAATGTCACAGCAACACTATAGTATGTGTATGGTGCTTATTATGTAGGTAACAAGGGATTTTGAAGGAAGGCAGCGTTATCAGAAACTGGATTTCCAGCAATGGGCAAAATTCTGGAATGAGCGGGGTGGGGGGAGGAAAGTAAAATTCTGCAATGGCTTGAAAAATTGACATTTCCTGGAAAATGGGAAGCCTAAATGTTTTTCTACCAGGAAAGTGTTTGAATGGAAAATTCCCAACCAGTTCTAGGTAAGACATAGGAGTTTATTAAGCAGCCAAATGAGGCTAATATCACATGCGGAGAGTCTGCTGTTTGGTTTCTCCCTCAGCCTTTCGCTTCAGGTGTGCATCTCTAGTGCCTCACCCATTTCAATCCCTCCCGAAACCTGCTCTGCTTTCTCCGGGTCCACGGATCACGCTCTGGAGATGCATGAGGGCTTCCTGCTCCCTTCACCGTCATCAATACATGATGCAGCCGAAGCAAATCTGAACGTGTAGATTGATTATTATTTTTTTTTTTTTTTGTGGTTGTCACCATCTGGCTCTGGAGTAGCTGGAGTCTCCTGAACTGTGCTTTTCATAAGAAGTTTAGGCTCAGGGTTTATGGGCTGTCACTGCTGCAATAAGCCACATGTCAGCGTGGCTTTGATCATCTGTTTGATTAAAGTAAGCTGCTCAAAAGGCACCATTAAAAGCACAAGGGCGGCATCATCTAGTCACTGCAGGATTCAGAGACAGAAGTTTTTGCTGCTCTGC